TTGATTTTATAATATGTGAGCAACACTTGTTCCCTTACTGGTATGCAGTAACTTGTGGGATACTAATTTCCCTAGTATTTAAAACCAGGGAAATGTAAAAAATAAAGTAAAATACAGAAGTCTTTCTGTGTCTCTAGTCTAGGATGGCGGATTTTCCTTCTATGGGTTTTAATGGCTCCATCGATAAAATAAATTGAAGACAGAGTTCCAGAAAAAAATGAAATTTCTAAATAATATAAATAGCTATATGACAACATATAGATTAACTCTGTCTTTCCCGTTTGCCAAATCTTACCGCCAATAATCACTGCAACCCAAATTGACTGATTTGTTTCCTAAAAAGTCATGGCTATACATATTTATTTCCAAATAATATGATGACATGCTCAAAGAAAACAAAATTAAATCATCTTACAACCTGACCCTTGTCTATAAATTAATGCATGTTAAAAAAGGAAAAATAAAATAAGATGAAAACAGACAGGGTGGGCAAACCATAGGAGACTCTTAACTCTAGGAAACAAACAGTGTTGCTGGAGGGCAGGTGGGTGGGGGGTGGGGTAATTGGGTGATGGGCATTAAGGAGGGCACTTGATGTAATGAGCACTGGGTGTAATATGCAACTGATCAATCACTAAATTCTACCCTGAAACTGACAACACACTATATGTTAACTAAATTGAATTTAAATATTTTTTTAAAGATAAATACAAATGTTTTCCCTAACCTGTTTTTTACTGAGAGGTGGTTTTCCTGCAAAAGGTGGGTACAACTCATATAGGGTTAAGGGAATTCAGGTTAATGCAAGCAAATGGAAAACACATGTCTTTATTTATAAAGGCAATAAACATTATAGTTTGGAACACAGAGTACACTTTGAGGGTGTACTGCAAAATGAAAGAAGAAAAAAGCAGGTTTGATCTACCTTACAAGTATATCCAAAATGATGCATGCTGTAATTTAACTATTTTAAGTGTTTATGTTGTGCTCACTAAAGAAGCTAAAAATATGTTAAAGTTTACTCTCATGATATGAAGAGCAACTAGCAATCTATTGCAATTTTAAGCTCATATATCTGTACAGTTTTCTTGCTTAAATCTGGGGATAATTATAACTAGGAATGTTTTGTCATAAAAACAAGAGACTTGGAAAATCTTTAATCTGTGAAGATGGATGCTTAGAGAATAAGCTCATGAGTCCCAGCAATAAAGCAAGGCTTAATTTAAATATTCTTCTAAATTATTCAATTAAATGGAAATACCTCATAGATACTTGTAAACAAGGTAGTTTAAATAATATAACATGTCTTAATTCAAAATCTGATTAGGAGGCAGCAAGGCTTTACCTCATCAGTGTTTCAATAAATTAAACACATACAGAAAGCTTATTTTTGTGAGGCTTCACTTGGTAATAATATGGTTTTGCTACTTTAATTCATACTTGAGTAGGGAATTTAAAAACATGTAAATACTACGGAAAAGTGCTGCCAGTGACTATCATAAACACTATAATTTAGTTGGTATTTTAACATGATCTTGTTATTCTCAGATATTACAATCTAAAATGTCAGGAAAAAGAAAGTGGCTGGAGAAATTTAGGTATTAATTAAATTAAATTAATTAATTAAAATTAGGTAACAAAATAAAATATACAGAGTTTTTTTCCAGTTAAGAAATTAATAGCAATAAGCAAAAAAGTTATGGGAATTCCTCCCTAGAGATGTTTAAGAGCAAGATAAATGTTCATCTGCCTAGAATAGTTTTAGTGTGTCTTGCCTGGAGGAAGAGGAATAAAATCTGCTAATTTGCAAAATATTCACAGCATCAGTTTCTTATTGTCAAGATACTGCCTTGGGCATACTTAGCCAATCCACAAGATTAGAGTAAGTGCTTCCAGTGAAAATCTTCTGATACCTGGAATTTGCTACGAATAAGGACTGAATGTGGTAAATCCAATAAACCTGTTACAGTGCATCAGACTGAGCATTTAGACAGCTCTATACAAAATATCATTATATCGTCGTAATGCAGCTAAAGAACATATTTCTTCTGTCTAGACTTTTTTCTCTTTTGTTCTCTGAATGAGTTGGAACAGTAGCCATCCACCATGTAGGATTATCCAAACTGTAATTACAACAGTGGAATGGTAAGTAGAACAGAGTATACTGTACCTCTCCTTCCCACACTGAATAATGTTAATATTAATGTTTATGGACTTTTATTGAGTCGGTACTTGATGACTGATGGTTACTTTTAATAATAAGATGAATTAAAATTTACCCTCAATTCTAACATATTTTAGCAGGCATCTTCTTAACTTTTAATGGTAAAACTAATCTTCATACAAAGCCCCATGAAACTTTTTTTTTTTTCTTGGAACGATGTAGTTTGAACAATGTTTCAGTTATAGAAACATGCATTTTAAGTGTGAAATTCTATAGAATTGTAGCTATGATCCTAATTAATTAAATAAACTTAGAAATGCATTGTGGTACTTCAATGCTGCTCTAAAAGTATTTGACATTGTTATGTGTAAGGCAGCGAGAACAGTGGAAATTGATTCTAACTTTGCATTGATTCTTTAATAGATTCTAACTTCTTCAATCTACCCTTCTCTGCGGTGACTCACCAACACATAACATGAATCAAGATCCTTGAAGACTCCTTTAGATTTTCTTTCAGGAACTCTTTCCTATGTTTCCCTGATGACCTCAAGCCATGATTTTTATCTTTTTCTTTCCTCAGAACTTAAAGCATGTAATATCTTGTTTATAAATCAGGGTCTGATGAAACTTTAGTACTTTCTGCTATATTTTCTTTTTCCACTTATTAGCCCCATGTCCAACTGACTTATACTAGACACGGATCTATCCTAACCATGCCCAATATTGCAAACTATTTCATGTTCTACTTTCCTAAATCTTTACTACATCTTTTGAGGGGCTGACTTCTAGTGGTTGATTAGTAAATACTTACAGAATGAAATAATACACTCCATTTTATAGCATTTTACCAAAAGGTCTTTCACATATTTTCTCTCCCTAATAACTATATCAAACCCAAGCAATTTTCATTTTCATTTTACAGAAGTGAAACTAATACTCAACGGAGTTTACTGATTTGTCATGTCTACAAATCCAATACGTAATGAGATTCTAAGACTCCAGTCCTAAACCCATCTCTCTGTATACATATTCATCTTAAATTTGAAGGGAAAATGATGCATATAGGGGAAGAAAAAGATTTTCAAGATTCTAGCAAACCAGTATCGCATTCTTCATAGTAAACTGGCTAGGATCTTACTTTTCATCTCTAAACTTCTAAAATCATAGTCTTTAAGAATAAATGAAGAGGATATATGAAGGAATCCCATCATGACTGGTATCTCATTCCCAAATGTATCCTTAAATATGGAAGACGGGTTACTTATAAACTTGGATTCCCTGAATATCTTTACTAAGAAGATTAAAAGCCACCTGTTTTAAGGATTTGGAGATAATACTATTACAAGATTGCAAGTGGCATTCCCAGAGAATGGTCAACTATAGCCATGACTATCCTTTTAAGTGACATACAGGCAACTTGAGTAGGTGTTGTGCTGGGATCTTCATATAGTTCTGACGAGAAATAGTATACAAAGGTAGTTTTAACACCTTACATCTCAGAATCTACCAGAAGACCTCCTCAAACCCTTGCAAGAGAAGACAAAATAAGAAAGCAAATAAAATCCCCTTAACATGCAAACATTCATGAAAACCTAGGGCCAGAACTTTGTTGGCTCTACACATTTAAATCTAGAAGTCTATATTTTTCTGTCTTCACCTGTACATTTAGAAAGTACGGATTTAATGCAAAAATCATCTACATTGAGGAGAAGATGCAGAGGCTGAACCTTGTAGCTTAATAAGCAGTCATTCTCTTTGATGACAGAAAACATCTGTCTCACTCTTCCTACTGGAAAAATAATGTTGTATCCCACCATGGAGAATGCCGAATATAAGTTAATTCTTGAAAAGTGCCTGCGCTGTTTATCACTAGCTAAGAAATATTGAATTCCTGGTAGTTAATCTCAGCCGGGAGAGGCTTTTTCCCCCTACATTCCAAACTAATGTGAAAGCTAAGGACAACACTTTATGTCCTAGCATTTGCAGTCAATCAAAAACAATCATTTTCAAAGGCGTGTGCAGTATTTTAGAATTTATAAAGATACATATTGACAAAATTAGGATTGTCACTGAAATCTTAAATCCAATATGTATCTTCAAAGAAATAGGCACTTGCGGAAAAGAAAAAAACAAAAAAAGAAAAAAACAAAAAACACTCTACACAAGACACTAGATGTATAAAGGGAAAATTCAGAAACATGGTTCCCTTTACTTCATTTTTTTTTTTCTTTTGAAAGAGGGCTATACACATATTCTTCCATAAAGATACAAGGAGAAAATATGTAAGAAAAATAGTCACACAAAGGGAAAGACATAATTTTCTCTCACTCTCACACTTTTGGCATATAATGAAAACAGTGATTTCAAAGTGGTAAAAAAAAGAAAGAAAGAAAGCTACCCACAGCTCCAGGCTCCAGGCATCTGTAACAAGAAAATATTATCTACTCTTTCTAGAAAAAAATAGTTTATATTCTGCATTTCCAATAAACACGGATAACAACAGAAAAGGGAGTTATTGATGTACGCTGACAGTAAAAGTGGAGAAAATGCATTGTAAATACCTTTTAATCAAGTCATTTCTTGAGATTTCATAAGATTAATCACAAAGTTTGAAGAATGAATTTGATAACAGCTTCAGATGCAAGACATCTTTTACATGAGAATTTCTCCAAATAGCTTGTAAAAACAATTTAAGACTTATTGTTACAAGCTCTCCTAACCAAGCATAAAGACAAATAGGCCTTTGACTTTTCTTTTGACACATTATTTAATATAAATTTAACATTAAAAATAGGTAACTATAAAATGACAGTATACATTAGAAAAGAATACTTACAGATTTTTAATGTCAACTGCCCCACGGAAAGCCTTCCTTGGAATTGCCTGAATTTGGTTTTCACTGAGATCACTAAAAATGACAAAAAAAAAAAAGGTCAAGTTATAAAATATCATTTGAAAATTATTTTATCAACGTGTTTGACAAATACTAAAACACCTCTTTAGAAAGCTGAGAAAAAAATCCTACCAGGATCATAATTAAATCCATATTATTAGATGAGATTTCTAATACAAAAAACTTATATTTATAACGTAGCTTAAAAGGTTGAACTAAATGGCTTCTTGAAGTACTTTTCCAAATCTTTAATTTCATAATAAATTATGAAATATGATTCTCTTAAGTTAGAGTTGATTCAATTCTGTGTTATAAACTATTTCTTTAAAAACCAAAAAAAAATAACCAACAAAAAAAAAAACAAAAAAATAAAGAAAAAAAATAAAAACCAAAAAAACAAAAACAAAACCCAAACCAAACCAAAAAAAAAAAAAAAAAAAGAGTAAATTGTCCCTTACTCAATTTCAAGGGGTTCTTAAGTTTTAGTACTTGATATTTCTCCAACATCACTGGCATAACTTACAAAGTATATAGGAAAGAAGTCCATTTAAACATCCTAGAGAGGAGCGGCCAAAAACTGATAAAACCTGGGCGGCATGATTAAGTTTTCACAGCGCTTTAAGTCATCTTGAAAATGGAACATGGCCGTACCAGGCCAACAATAAAACTAACCGTTCTTGCATGAAATATTAACAGCAGGTTGATTTAAAACCTTTTTTAAATAATTCTATTAAAACCATAAACACAGACTGTCTATATTTGCATTTTAATTTAATTGAGAAATACATTTTAATCAAGGGGGAAAAAAAGCACTCTTTCAGTTGGAATGAGAAGTTTGTAAAAATCACTCATCTCATAAAATGGATCATTATTTTTCCTCAGAGTTCAGATGCAATTCAATGAGCTCACATAGTATTAGCCTTAACAAGTAGGATATAAATATACATGTAGGAAATGTAACTGAAAACAGAAAAATGCTCATCTAATTTTAAGTCACTCTACCACACCACAGAAAGTTGAAATACCAAATAAATTATTACAGTCACAATGATGGTGCTAAAATTATTTTTAAAATTCTAAGATAGCTGATGCTCATTAGGAAAGATGAAACTACTAACCATAGTACATAGATGATGAAAACAGAGCCACTTTCCAATTATGCAGAGGATAGGGGATGGATTCAGCCACATCCTCTCCCCGAACGCTTCTTATGACCAGAGCTTGCCGTTCACATAGTTGTGGCCACGCAATAGAGATAATTGGCAGAAAGGGAGATTTAGAGGGTGGTCCTGACCTCATTAGCACCAAGTTTTAAACAACTGAGATTTGCATTCATATTTCAATATCTGCACTGTCTAAATAAAAAATGTTCGCCAAGCAATTTGTAAAGAAATAAACGTTCTTATATTTAAGGAGTAAAGGTCTTTAAGGGGAAAAAAAAGCAAACACACATACTTTATTTCAAACAGTAAATTTACAGTATGTGCTTATGTAGGAGTTAAAACAATCGTCCATTTCCTAAGTGCTGTAGCTCCGTTCCTGCTTTCAGTAGTTTCAGTATATCCCTAAGAGTAATAAAACTCCATTTCCTTAAAAATTGCTTATTTTTCCAGCTTGTCATTGATTCAGACTGACTTCCTTCCCTTCATTACATCAGGTTAAGAATGTTTAACAGTGTATATTTAACAGCCTTGATGCTGGAAAAGTGTGGAAAGGAGGCTACCGAGCAGGAAGAAAGTAGAGAAAAACACTGGAAAAAAGAAAAATCAGAATGTAATAAGAAACAAAGAAGAAAAAAAAAACACTGAACCCAGGCAAATCTGAATCTTCAATGCTCCATGAAAATCAACAGTGGTGGTGTTACTGCTGTGTCTCTGTCAATTCAATGTTTTCTCATCACTTGTGTTTCTCTGTTTCTCCTAAGATGAAGACTGCCTTGGAGGCTCTAGGTGAATAAAAATGGCAGTTGTTTTCTTCAGATCTTGCCTGCTTTCCAGGCTCTGCAGTCTTCCCATCCAGCTGGCTGGGGCCATTTCATTTGCTACCTACAGTCTCAGCTCTGCTCAGTCTCCAGGCACAGTTTTTCCTAGGATCCTGTTTTCAATGGGGAGATGGTGAGTGGGAGGAAAGTCAGAGGGATATGAGGTGGTTCACAGTGATATCACTGAGGAAAGTGAAACGTACAGTCAGATGACCATTCCTTCTAAAACAGATTTTAGTAGAAGCTTCTGAGTCCCATAGGCAGAATTCTGGGATGTGGAAGGGTTTTATACTGCTAACACTTACCGATCTTTTATTTTTATGAAAGTATGAGAAACTGTTAACTGTCAATCTCAGAGCCTTTTTGCTCCCCTAGGTCAATGGTTTATGTGTGGCTGCCCCACAACTAGACTGCTTCCCAGACTATTTTATAGGGTCTCTGCCTTTGTGTCCTGTCCACCAGGGCAGGCAATTTCAGTTCGGGATCTCAGGACCCTCCAGTTAAGTGGACCATGTTCATCATGAAAGGAGAAAGAAACAACACACTTTTAGCACCTAGGGTATGCAATAATTTTTTAGAAGTAATATGTTATCAAATATGATCTGTATTTCCTTTAATCCCCATAACCACTCTTCCAAGCAGATAACATTATTCTGGTTTTATAGGAAAGGAAATTAAGCTTCAGAAAGGTAAGGTATTATTGCTAAATAATGAGACAAATTGTTTAAGTAAATATATAAGAAAGGAAATACAAATAAATACTGAGTCGGGATTTGAGGAATTCTAAAGATGATACAAGTGGCGACTTAATCAATCTCAATATATCCTTCCTGTGCCCCAGAACTTAAAAGGCTTTTCCATAAGTTATCCTAGCCTCTGGTTTATGTCCTTTGCCATATGATGGATTGGACTGTTAGAACAATGACTCATATATTCTATATATAATCAGGGGGAGGTTACCAGTTATTTCAATCCAACATATATTCATTTAAGATCTACTACATGCAAGGTATTGACTGATGTTGCACGATTACTGGGCTGGGGTAAGGCCCATTTCCTGGCTTCAGGAATTTTTAAATCCAGTAAAGAAGATAATATGCAAGTAGCCAAATAGAAGGCTGGTTGAGAGACTTAAATTATCATGAGTCTACAAAAGCAAGACAGCACACTAAGAAAAAAGGTACCGCGAATGTGTTCAGATGTAAGGTGAGTGAGCAGAGGATAGCACTTCTATTGAAATAAATGGCACAAGTGAAATATGGAGTGGGAAAAGCAGAACTTTTCATGAGAGTAGCCCTTAGTCTCATTTGCTTAGAAGGTAAAACACCCAATAAATAAATAAAATCTTTAAAAAAAAAAAAAAAGAAGGTACAACACCCACAGTGGAGTAATAGGGGAGGAGGTCAGAGGATAAGTCAAAGGTGTGATGAGTAGATTTTTTGGTACTACTTGAGAAGTGCATTCTTATTTCAGTACACGATGGCAGGGAGGGAAGGGTGGTAGGTAGGAGCAGGGCAAGGGCAGATAAGTTAAACTGGCAATGCGATTTAGGATGAATATGTGACATCAAAAACTTGAGTCTGGAAGATCAGACACAAGACCTCTATGATAGCTGGGGAAAGGGTGGTGAGAACAGTAAGCATTGTAACAACCAACAATGTATCACTTGCTTACCATAGGCGGGTTAACAGCTGCACCATATCCCACTCTATCGATAGAAAAGGCGAAGAAGATTAAGAGTGGTATCAGGGATTCATGAAAAACCAAAACTCAGAAGTGGATTGTATGTGGATATGGATTTGTCAAGGGAGAGAAAGGAGACAGAAGTACTCTGAACTTAGATTAAAGGTCATGTTAATAAAACTGGGGAATCAGAAGAGCCATTTGCAGTGTCCATAATGAGTTTGGTTTTGGAAGTTTTTCGATACAGTTAGAAAGATGTGATATATATATCACAAAATTTGGTGACAACAAAGATAGTATATGGTTAGTAAGAGATGTGCAGTAACTGAGAAAGGTGGTTTAGAAGATCAAAAAAGTAAGTCACTGGACGTTAGATGGATTCAGGCCATTTTCAAAACAGAATAGGATTTTTTTTTTTTTTGAACCTTGGTGAAAATGACAGAGCTCAGTAATTCTCAGCCTTCAGTATTGGAGAAGGCATGGCAGACAGCGGATGGCTGGAATCCAGGGAGAAAGCCAGCATGTCAAAGGATTTAAGAGCATAGATTGCAGACCTAGACTCTCTGCGATGGACTATTTGCCATTTATTAACCACATGCCCTTGGAGGAACTGCTTACTCTTCTGAGCCTCAGTTTCTTCATTGGCATATGGAATAATGATAATGTTACTGCATAGGACTATAAGGTGAATTCAATGAGTTCATACATTCTTAAAAAATTTTAAAAAGATTTTATTTCTTTAGCAGAGAGAGGTCATGAGTGGGGGGAGTGGCAGATGGAGAAGCTAGGCTCCAGGCTGAGCAGGTTGCTCAACGCAGGGCTCCATCCCAGGACCCTGGAATCATGACCTGAGCCGAAGGCAGAGGCTTAACCGACTGAGCCACCTAGGCAACCCGAGTTCATACTTTTAAAATGCTCATAAAAAATGCTCAAAAAGTACCTGCATATAGTAAGAACCACAGAGCTGCTGGGTTATATACATGTTACAACTGTTCTACTCAGAGCCTGTTATGTGCCCCTGAGTGTACTATTTCGCTCCTTGAAGAGCATTGCAGGTGATGTGAGACATTACTGATGGGAGTGTACTGTTCTGCGAACTGTGTGGAATGAGAAAAATGAGTCAGAACTACTGAGTTAGCAGGATGGAGCTGCCAAGGGAAGAGTTTGTAATTATATCACTAGGCAGTAGAGTGTAAAAATGTGTTTCAGAGTAGGAAAATGGCTTGATTGGAGTTGATTTTTAGGAAGATTAATTTGGAAATTGAATGTTGGAGTAGGCAGGGACAATGGGCAGAGAATTGGTATTGGACAGTGTTGGTGGAGAGAGACAGTGGATCTCCAGTTAACTAGA